GAGAACTGGAATAGTGGCCACACCTGAAGGATGTCAAATTGCATAAATGGTGACATGAGTCTTTTCATCGGAAAGAATGCATACAAGGCCATGGAACCCTGGAAAGTGATAAACAGCCAGGGCAGTGGACTATATGCAGTTAGAACACCACTTGGTTGGATAATAAATGGACACCTTAGAGAACCCAATGGAGCCTGTTTAGAAATTGAAAAGCAACAACAGATTACTGTTAACAGATTCAGTTTGCATACAGTAAAAGAACTCACAAGGCGACAATAAAACCATGACTTCCCTTAAAGAAACTGTGATGACAAGTTGGAGATGTCTCACGAAGACAACCTTTTTTTTAATGGAAAAAAAAAAACTTGCTCATTTAGTTCTATCAATGGTTTTACTGCATGAAGCTTCCTGTCAAACATGATTCTGTCACAAATCCATGTAACAAATTGGCTGAACAATGTGCACTCAATCTGAAGAGGACATTTCAGAAGAACCCATTGTTCCATAATGAATATAAAAAATTATTTCAAATATGATGGAAATCGGCTACACGGTACAAGTACCAGTTCAACAATGCAGACGAAATGCAAAGAAGGGAGGGTTTGGTACATACCACATTAGGGTGTGTACTACCCTCCTAAAAAGCAGCTGAGTGAGTTTTTTGATTGTGCTGCTTCATTTCAAGAAACATCCCTAAATGACATACTACTAGAGGGACCTGATCTTTATTACTCCCTCATCGGAGTCCTCACAGATAGGATCATATTACAATGACAGGAGACATTAAAGCAATGTTCCATCAAGTAAAAGCTGCAAATGAAGACACAGACCTTTTGAAGTTCTTGTGGTGGCCTGAAGGTGACTTCTCAAGACCTATAGAGACCTAAGAGTTTAATTTGATTGTCCACTCATTTGATGCCACATCTTCACCCAGTTGTGCTATGTTTGCACTCAGGAGAACAGCGAAGGATAATCAAAGTAAATCATCATCTAAAACTGTGGAAACTGTACGAAACAACGTCTGAGTTGATGACTGCCTGAAGGCTGTGGATACCAATGCAAAGGCCATTGTTATAGTTGAAGAATTAACTGCATTGTTTGCTACAGGAGGGTTTCATCTAACTAAATGGGCAAGTAAAAGCCAATCTGTTAGCCACCATCCGCATTTACTTTTCAAAATTTCATCAATGCTTCTCTACCTGTGAAGAACAATGCACAACCTCTTAGTTCAGAACATTTTAGATTGCTGGCAGCCTGATTTCCTCTTGCTCCTGTCTGAGCTCCACAATGCCCTCTTAACTAACCCTCGGTTGTTCGGGTAATTCGTCTACCAATGTGGGCGGAACTGAGTCACGGTTAGGCGGAAGTACCGCTGAACGCTACTGTCATCCAGACATATCCTCTTGAGGTGATGGTGGTCTTCACCATACTGTGTACGTCTCTGGGAATCTAGTTAACTTAGGAACACAGACACCTTTGCTTGGCTTTCTAAATTAAAAAGCACTGCCAGTCTTTGTAAATCCATGTCTGTCATTGTTAGGAATCCAGTTTGTGTGGGTTGTGCTTTTGTTTGTCTTCCCTCCACCACCAGGCGGCGTCTTGTTCTGGTTGGCCTCCTCACACACCTGCTTATGGTTACCTCATTAAAGGAGGACTCTTAAGCTGCTGACTGCCACTGTTTGCCAGTTTTGGGTACTCTAGCCAAGCTGAGTGTTGCTGAGTTAATCTGAGTTTTTGTCTACCTGACTTTTAACCTTGCTGTTTTTGTCTCTGCCTCTCGGCAGGAAGTCATCCTGCAAACTGGATGTTTTGGACCTTGTCCCCCCTGGAAGGTTTCTCTGAGCACCAAACTGAGCTGAGGATTCAAGTTTGTGGTTTGGATTAACTTTTCGCTCCCAAGGATTGTTTGGGGTTCTCTCTGAGCAGGGGATTCACCTCCACAATAACCCGTTCAAGTACCGCAGCAAAACTAAGTGGCAGTCAGCTCCTCCGTTCACCAAGGAAAAACCTCAATCTGGGTAAACCCTGTCCACCATCCAACAAACAAGACATTCACTGAATCAACCCAAACCGACTGGATTCAACAAGAGACACCTTTTTCTTGACACGTGAGTTCGCAACCTAAATCCCCTTCTTCAA